CTACTCTTCCAAAACCCCAAAACCCCAAAACCCCAAAACCCCATAAGATTAAAGATGATAATTTGATGGTTCTGGAAACACTAATTTGATTGAAATTTAATATTAATATGAGTTCTTATTTGCTATAGTGATTTAATTTTATTTTTTAGTATCTATGGGATTTGGAAGAGTAGAAATTACTTTCATTATATGTGAGGCAGTATGCATTCTTTTCTATGGTCTGTTTACTGAGTTCAATGTTGGTACAAGTCCAAAGACTTTAGCGTCAGAGGAGGACTCTATCAAAACATTCATGCATGATAAGTACGCAATGTTTTAGGACGTGCATGTCATGATCTTCATTGGATTCGGATTCCTGATGGTATTTTTGAAAAACAACTCCTGGACCTCAATTGGATTCAACTATCTGATAGCTTGCTGGGCTATTCAAATTACCATCCTGTTTAGAGGATTCTGGCTGAACGTTTGTGAGCACTATCACGACGAAAATCACAAATGGACTAACATTAAGCTCACAATTTAAGAACTAATCTTAGCTGATTTTGGAGCAGGCGCAGTCTTGATATCCTTTGGAGCTATCCTCGGTAAATGTAGTCTGTTCTAGCTCTGGGCAATGGCTACAATAGAGTGCTTTTTCTATGCTCTCAATGAGAGTATTTGTGTAGACATCTTTGGTGTCTCAGATATTGGAGGAAGCATGACTATTCACACCTTTGGCGCTTACTTTGGGCTCTCTGTAGCTCTTTTCTATCAGCCAAAACTAGCAATTAGGGATAAGAATGGGATTGGTGTTGGTAACTACCTCTCAGATTTGATCTCTATGATTGGAACTCTCTTCTTGTTCGCCTTCTGGCCATCTTTCAATGCTGCACTAGGAACCACTGGCTCTCAATAATAGAGAACTGTAATCAATACCTACTTAAGCATTTCGAGCAGTGTAATCGCCTCAATTATTTCCTCTAAGATAATTCATCATGGAAAATTAGAGATGGAAATTGTACTAAATGCATCGATTGCTGGAGGAGTGGCCATCGGAGCTACTGCAGATATGATAGTACTGCCATTTGGTTCTATGGTTGTTGGATTTATAGCAGGCACAATCTCATCATTTGGCTTCGCTTATTTGTCTGCCATCCTTAAAAAGGCAATAAATCTTCATGATACTTGCGGTGTTCATAATTTGCATGGTATGCCAGGAGTTATTGGTGGACTTACTTCTGCTATTATTGCCTCTAGAGGTGGAGATAATTTTGGGGCTAACTATGGCAATCAATTCGTAGTTGCAACTAGATCCCCATCAGAATAGGCAGGATATCAGCTAGCATCACTAGCTCTTACATTGGGTATTGCAATTACCACAGGTCTTTTTACAGGATTTGTAACCTCAAGATAATGGTTCTAGCCTCCATCAGAAGACTACTTATTCGATGACAGATTCAGTTGGGAAAACTGCGAGATTGAGCACGAATAGATGGCTGTATTACAGAAGTAGATGACCTAGTCTCAGTCTAAACTTATCAACAATACAAACACTGCACATAAAACTGATCAATTAGAAGATTATGATGATCACAACATCCACAGTCGTAATTAAATAAACAGTTGAGTAAGTTTAATCTAATCTACTAAGTAAATATCAATTTAAACAAGACGCAATCAATTCTTACAATTTTCTAATTTATTCTATCAAATTGTTCTACAAATTATCATTTGCGGGGTTTTGGGGTTTTGGGGAGATCGGAAGAGCACACGTCTGA